TCAGAAACAGCCTCAGCAGCTCAGAAACAGCTTCAGAAACAGCCTCAGCAGCTCAGAAACAGCCTCAGCAGCTTCAGAAACAGCCTCAGCAGCTCAGAAACAGCCTCATCGTCTCTGCTCACACTGACCTGACAAACACTTCTCATTCATTTAGAGCTGCAGTTTCACACACAAAGCATTTAACAAAGGTCCTTTGAGCTTTAACTTTTTAGAATTTTACTGTTAATATTTTGCTCCTGTTTTTTTCCTGAAGTACCTCGGTTCTTAGAATGATTCACTCGGCGTCCCTAAACATTTATGTGGGTGTAAACATGTAGATGTGATGTCTGACAGCCTGGAGTCCTGGAACTACACAGGAGAGAAACACACTCCCTGCAGAGCAGCTCTCCACCTGTTGAAACAGATGCAGGCAGATTAAACCATCCTTCAGTCTCTCCGGGAGGAGGTGATGTTCAGCAGCAAAATAAAAGACTGACATCCTGGACCTCTGATCTCTGAAACATAACAGCTAGGTGATGCACCTAATTCAGCACCCTCGGTAGAGCCAGAGACATCTAAAAGTGCTCTTTTATCTTCCGATACGTCTGTTCACAGAGGGAACTTTGCTCAGCAAAAACACAGGACGAAAAGATTAAAGGAAAGATCCCAGTGGTGCTGTCAGCCACATCCAGCCTGCTGACATTCAGATATGAGATCTAACTGTTTAAAAAGCAGCCCTTGATGTGCACAAGAAATTTCAGCTTTAACTTTACAACCCCTTCACAGGCAGAAAGAAAATCAAATTCTGCGTCAGAAAAATGTCTTTTAAAGAGTCTGTGCTCACTGGCATGGGCAGGTGCAGAAGGTGCTGCGTTGCTCCCTCAGTTTCTACCTGCTGGAGCTATTCTGGATCATGACTGTGCAAAGTGGCCGTGCTTTAGCGTCCCTGAGCTCCAACGGGAACAGCTCACACCTGCGCCCTGCACTACAACACACTAAAGTGCAGCTGAACACAGAGAGTCATCCCAGTTCTCACATCCATGCTGACCTGCTGCCCACAGAGTCACATCCTGTGAACTGGGTTCTGTCTGATATTGGTGCTGCGTTTCTTTGCAGGAGTGACTAGAAGTGGTTTGGTAGACTGGGGCCAAGACCACAAACCCAGCCTGTAGCTGCACGTCTTTAGCTTTCTCTACGAGTTGGTTCACCCAGTGGACTTGTAAAACAGATTTAGCTTTTCAGGATCGTGATCATTCTCCTTACTGATGATCAGGGGACGGATCCAAACAGTGTAACACCACTTATCAGGCATTTGAGCTGCCTGATTTTTATTGGCAGAACTTCAGAATCCTTTGAAGGGGTGCACTTGATCTTAATCAGGTGTTGAAAAGCATCTAAAGCCTGCAGGACTGCAGCCCTCGTGGACAAGATGTCAAAGGTTCTCCTAAATTTTCTCAGGGAGGCAGATGTGTATGGTTTCCCTGTAGTTGGCACACAGTCTCTTTTGTAGATGCTATTTCTCCTTACGAGTACATGCATGTGTTAGCCTGCTCACACTTCCATCGGCCGTCCTCCCTGTGGGTTAGGGTTAGGGTTAGGGTTAGCGTTAGCATCCCCGCTGTGTGCACCCCCCATGCTGTTCCTGAGATCCCCGCTGAGGTCGGGGAGGCTTGTGTGGTCCCTCCCTGCACACAGCAGCTCTGATCCCCGCCACTCAGATCCCATTTGCTGCTGAAATCAATACGAGTCGGCCACGTAATCGGCTTATCCCGGACTTATGCAACCGCCCAGCATCTGAGAGCCTTTCATTCAGCACAGGCCGATACTCCACCGCTGGCTCCAGCCCGTAATCCAGCCAGCGTTAGGGTTAGGGTTAGGGTTAGGGTTAGGGTTAGGGTTAGGACACGTTCATATGGCATCACAGGCCCTGACGGGACCAAAGACCTGTGTCTAAGAGACAGGCTGTGTGTGAGAAGCCGAAGGGTTGCTCATCTCTGTGAGCCCACAGAAAACTGTCAGTTCTGTGTCTTTTATTCAATAAACTCAAAACGGATGCACAGTTTGAAGCTGCAAAGAAGAACTGTTCATGACTTGGGGTGGCATCACATTTTCAGAGCTAGTCAGGGGAAGTTTATAGGACATGAGGACTTGGAATTAGTCTCGTTTGGTTTCCCCACAGAAACCAATCAAATGTGGAACTGTAAGATGTTAATCCATTTTGACTCCTGACTGTCATCAAAGATGAGAATGAAACCTCGTAATAATTTGACAGAGGTCCAAATTCTGGGACGTTCAGATGAATGTGAGCGCTCCTGGTCTCCTGAAGTGAACAACAGTAGGTGAATGCATCAGTTGGATAGGATGTGAAATATTCAGAATGAGACACAGGTTAGCATCAGTCCTCAGAATGAATTCCCTGTTCTCCTCAGCTCTGAAGGCCACTGAAGAGGAAAGACCTCTGCCAGCCACACAGGTCTCAGATAATCAGACTTCAGGCACTTTGAAGGAGTTAGTCAGGAGAACTCATTAGAAACGAGCTCTTCTGTTTAGTCTTCATTTCCACCAGACATGAACCCGGCTGGATCAATGTGGACACTTGCAGAAGCATGTGAAATGAGAATTCCTTTTTGAGGGGACAGAAACCCACCATTTTCTTACCATTAGGAATCCTGAACATTTCATGCCTGCTGCAGCCGAACACACTGAACAGTTGATAAATCCACCGTTCAAGTACCCGGGTCTAAAAATAAGGCTGAGTGAATCATTTATGGGTTTTTATGTGCAGATATCTGCTGCCTCAGTAAGCAGCTCTGAGGTTTGACCCAGCTGTCCACCTCAGAGCAGCTTTACAACTTATTTCATCCTCCGTTTGCAGACTTAATGAGCCCAGTGTCTGCTGACAGCCGGGTTAGGGTTAGGGTTAGCCCGGTCTGAGCACCATCAGCCGGGTTAGGGTTAGCCCGGTCTGAGCACCATCCGCCGGGTTAGGGTTAGGGTTAGCCCGGTCTGAGCACCATCCGCCGGGT